GGGATGCCGCTCCCGGCTCCGGCAAACACCAGGCAGTCTCACTTCCCCCACAAGCTCCTGCCGCACTTGGGGTCCACCCGCCCTGTGGGGACCCCGCTCCTGTCTGATCCAGCGCCAGAACATCTCCGGGTGCTTTGTTGCAGGTTCGAGGAGGCCCTGCAGGAAGCCCGGCAGGTTGATAAGCTGCTTGCGGAGGGTCCTGGCGATGACTGCCTGGAGGAGAAGTTCCCCTTGTTGGGAGTTCCCATCACCGTTAAGGAGGCCTTTTCTCTTTATGGTGGGTTTATCTTTATGCCTCCAGGTCTTGATGTGCTCCCCAGAGTGGTGGGTGGCTGTGGCAGGTGCTTGGAGGGAAGTAGTCTCCCTTTCCCTGGTTTGCACCAAGCCCTGCCTGGGCTTCTGCATTTGTGTTCATTTGTAGCACACAGATGCTACAGAGCTTGAGGTGCTTCAGAGGAGCAGCCCTCACTGGTAACCTGCTTCCTGCAGCTCTGGGTCATCTCAGGGCACTGGCCCTGATGCCTCCCTCCTATTGACCTTGGCACCACAGGGATGCCCAACACCTCTGGCTTGGTCAACCGCCGCAATGTGATCGCCACCTCGGATGCCACTGTGGTGTCACGGCTGAAGCAGGCAGGTGCCATCCCGCTGGGTGTCACCAACTGCAGCGAGCTCTGCATGTGGTACGAGTCCAGCAACAGGGTCTACGGGCGGACCAACAACCCCTACGACCTGCAGAGGATTGTGGGCGGCAGCTCAGGTGAACCCCAGCACCTCGGCACGGTCCTGCATGAGTGGCAGGTTAAAATGCAGTGAGGGAGAGTTCCAAGTCTCTGCACACAGCTATTAACGTGTCCCTGGGCTCTTGCGGAGCTTACAGGCCTCTTTCCTGAGCACTGCTGTAGGCTGTTGGGAGGTCTAGCTGCTTTGCCTCTTCTGGGTGTTTCATTTGACATTGCTTCAGCCTGCCCTGTTGTACTTTGGCAGGCAAATCCCTTTGGCCCACATACCCCAGCAATCCCCTACCCATCACTAAAGCCAAGGTGTTGTCCCCCCACCCCTCTTGCTTTTTAGGCCCCCACTCTCCCTGTGAGGTGTTCCTGCTTTCCTGGATGATTTGCACCATAAATCTGTGGGGTTTTGCCGTGTTTTCTCCTGTGCAGGTGGGGAGGGTAGTGTCCTGGCAGCTGCCGGCTCAGTGGTAGGTGTGGGCTCTGACATCGGTGGCAGCATCCGAATGCCCGCCTTCTTCAATGGAGTCTTTGGCCATAAACCTACAACAGGTAAGGTGGGTGCTGGGGTCTCCTCCTCTTCCCCATCAACAGAAACACCATGAGATGGAATGGGGGCTGTGGGATGAACCCCTTCAGGACACCTCTGTATTGGTTGCTGGTGGGATTGCTGTAAGGAGTCAGGTAACTTCTTGTATGGGACAAGCCTGTTGAGGAAGCACAGCTGGGGTTGGCAGTTTGGAAGCCAACACCAATGGCTGAATGCTAGCACATGGGAGATAGGCTGGGGTTAACCCAAGTATTGCATCCTCAGCACGGGATGTTTTCACAACGTTGGGATCTGCTGGGATATTTCTCTGTCCTTCAGTGTCCTGACTTGGGTGCTTTTCTTCCCATCCCCACCCCGTGAACCTTGCCATCAGCACTTGTGGGGTGTACAGTCCCTGGGGAACCGTGTCTCCGTGCACCCACAGACCCCCAGCAGGGCTGTCCCCATCTGGAGGCAATACTCAGGGTAGTGTCTGACTTCTCTGCTCTCAGGGGTGGTGCCCAACGACGGCCAGTTCCCCAACGCTCAGGGAGTGCGCACCAGCTACCTGTGCACGGGGCCCATGTGCCGCTACGCAGAGGACCTGGAGCCTGTGTTGAGAGTCATGGCCGGCCCTGGGGTCTGCAAGTGAGTTGTTCCCACTGCTCCAAGCTGGAGTCAGCAGCTCTGTGGTCCTCACAGTGTATGAGACCTTTGTACGAGACAGGTCTGCACCCCGCCCACTTGCTTGTTTCTGATTTCTTTCCTCTGCTGTTGGCTTCAGCAGGACCTTGGCTTCTGGGACTGCCCTTCCTAGCACCCACGTGCTCCCAGGAACCGGCAGCCTGGGCAGACTGATAGGTGCCCCTTCACCAGTGAGCTGCTTTCTAGTTCTGTTCCATACACCCTTCCCAGAGCTGGCCTTGCTCCTGGATATTGCAGCACCTTTTTTCCTGTTGTTGAATGAGGAGTTTTCCATCCCCACATCATGGCCAGTTCAGTTCCTTCAGTTCTTGGTCCGTGCAATCAAGTGCAGCCATGCTGTGTGCCAGTGAGGAGCAGAGTGGAGATGGGGCACATGGAGCACCCCTCCTTTTTGCCACAGCCTGCACATTGTTGCTCTCTCCATTACCACTTTGCTTTTTCCCAGGCTCTTGTGCAATCCCAGCCTTGGCTGCAGCCAGGGTTTGTAGTCACAAGGTGCTTCTGGAGAAATGGGAACTTTCCCAACAGAAACTTGATGGGACTGAGGGGGCAGGTGAGCAGCTGGATGTGTTGTGGACAGTAGGTGTCTGTGTCTTCAGTCTCACCTTGCCACTCTGAGGGACAGAGCAGGGTCTCTTGAGGACACATAACAAGCGTGTGAGAACCTCTAGCAGCGGCAGAGGAGCTGGGGATGGATTTGTGACAAAGCACCATTTCTTTCCCAGGCTGAAACTGAATGAGAAGGTGGCGCTGGAGAAAATCAAATTCCACTGCATGGATCATGATGGTGGGTCCATTTTTGTATCACCTGTGGACAAGGAGATCCTGCAGGCCCAAAAGAAGGTAGGAAGCAGCAGAGGATGGTACTCACTGGGGTGAGCCTGAAGATAGAACCTGGGGAGACCAGTCAAAGGAGCCTTGGGGAGGGGAAAGAGCTGCTCTGTGTGTGGCTCCTGCAGGAGCTGGCAAAATTAAGGGCTGGGGAAGCAGCCTTGCATCCCAGTCCTATGCTTTCAGGGGTTAAAAAGTAAAAAGAACTTTTTCTTCTTCGGGGCTAAAGAAGACACAAGGGGAAGATCTTGCGAGTAGGTCCCCTTACTCTCTTCTCTGTAGTTTCCTTTGGCTTATGGCAGGTGTCAAATCTTTATGGAAACCAACCCGTCCTTGCTCTTCCCTTCAGGTGGTGGAGCACCTTGAAAGTGACCTTGGAGTCCGGGTTCAGCATGTGGCAATCCACAAGATGAAGTATTCCTTTCAGATCTGGTCAGCCATGATGTCATCCAAGGACAGTGAGGGACAGGTGTGTCAGAGTGAGTTGGCAGAGGCACAGCTTTGGAGGCAGCAGGGAAGAAACAGCTGTTCGGGGCCAGCTGTGGAGAGCTGTAGGCTTCCCAAACCTACCCAGGGGCTTTCCCTGCTCCATGTGTCCTCCCAGTTCTTCTTTCACCTCTTTCTAAAGTTGCACAGCACCTTCTCCTTTGCTGTCCTGTGGCTTGAGGCCCTGGCTCTCAGCTGAGGAGCAATGTGGTAATCGGGAGGGGGGAGGTTGTTTTGGCACATTGACCTTTTCCATGCAGGTTGGTAAGTCAACCAAGCAGGGGCCATCCTGCCTTTCTCTTTGCCCCACGCTGTGTCTTCTGACTTGTAGGCTGGGATTAACACCCTTGGGGATGCCAAGACAGGCAGGGGACTAGCAGCTTTCCAGCAGGAGCCTGCTTGTGTAATTTTTCCGTGGCATTGCAGCTGCTGCGCTATATCTGTGCATGCAGGAAAGTACTTCGTAATAAAACAAACTTCTGGGAGTGTCATAACTTATGCTTTCCTGGCACAGAGGCAGTGATGAAACAGCCCAACCTCACCACACCAAGGAGGGCTTGTCTGGCTCCTCTGCCTCTTTCTTCCAGGTCCAGTCGTCATATCACAGGAGGAAATGCCTCTGGACATTATCCCTTGCATTGTGTCAGTTGGGTGCTGCTCTGGGGGGGCTCTTCCATCTCCTTGCTGTCTCTGGGAGGGAAAAATGCTCCTGCTGCTGCCCTGGATCAGTGTCAGCTGTGGAGCACCTGATGGGCATCTCCTGTGGGAAAGCGGGAACACCTCACATTGGGATGATGAGATAACTGAAATTTCACTGTCCATTGCCAGCCTGTGCCTCCCTGCTGCATGCTGGCTTTGCTGACAGGGGGAGTGGGTGTGTTACAGGAGGCACAAAGATTCACAGACCTGCTGGGGGACCATGGGAAGCCAGTGTGGCCGCTGTGGGAGCTGATGAAGTGGCTCGTGGGGATGTCTTCTCACACTCTCCCGGCTATCGGTAATGCTGGCAGGGGCCCTGGGCAGTGCACAGGCAGTGCTGGGGTGGGCAGGTTGTTAAATGGAGGTATTGCCCTTCCAATGCCCAGTGAAGGAACTCGGGGTTTGCCCTGAGCAGCTTTAGCCTAGTTTTGAAGGCTAGCTCAGGAGTCTGGATCTTTGATAGATGGGAGTGGGTACCTTGGGGGAAGAAGTGAGGACGATGGAGCTGGGGGCAGGGTTCACTTCTGCTGTGAGCCACACCAGAACTGCTGGGGCTCAGAGGGCTCAGTCAGGGTCTGCACTGATCTTGTTTTAGAGCAGCAGGTACTAGAGAATCCTAATTAACACCATTGTGCTGCTGTCTAATGATTGCTGGGGTCATTCTGCCAGCTCTGCTCAGCCCCACTGGCTGGAAAAGCTGGAAGGAAGGGGCAGGCTGAATGCTTGTCCCTTGGCAGTGCTGGGGGAATGGTGCCCAGAAAGCTGTGCTAGGGGCAATCTGCTGTGGCTGCTGGCAGGAAGGGGTACTTGGGGAGCCACCCCAGAAGCAGGGGATGTTGCATGTGGCTAGGCATTGTTTCTGCCCCACATAGACCACAGTCCTCTCATGTGCTCTTGTCCCCATTTCTACCCTTTGCTGCAGCCCTGGGACTGACAGAGAAGCTGGTGAACCTCAACCTCAGTGGGAAGGCCAAGCTGGTGAGCATGGGGAAGAGCTTACAGGAGGAGATGGAGGCACTGCTGGGGCCAGATGGGGTGCTCCTCTACCCCTCACATCCCACCATCGCCCCCAAGCACCACTCCCCCATCTGCATGCCCTTCAATTTTGCCTACACAGGTGAGCAGCCCTGACTCCTGTTTGCAGCTAGGGCTACCAAAATGATCTCCTTGTGGCAGCTGGGGTGTTGTATCCAAAGTGTTTGCATTGCTGACAGTGGACTGTGCAGCAAAGAGAGGTGTCTTGTCTTGGAGTGAGGGTTGTTCGTGCTTCATACCGTGTGGCATCTTCTACCTTTTGCCAAAGGTGCCTGTCCACAGCAGGGCAGGTGTGACTGTGTGTGCGATATTGGAGTTTAGCAGGAATCTGAAACCTGCCATCTCTTGGGGTACAGCCTGGGGCCCCTTGTGTGGTTCCCATGTGGTGTCAGTGCTGCCTTGCTTTGTGGAGTGATGGAGAGCTGGTGCTGGCACAGGAATGTCCCAAATTTGGCATGCCACAGTGTATGCCATCCCTCACGGATGCTGTTTATACACATGATGTGGGCACTGGGAATCTCTGGCCAGTGCTGTCCCTTGTCACCATGTGTCTGCACTGCTGCATGAAGCACCAGCTCCCAGGATCTTGGTGCTGTGCATGGCAGAGCTGCCTGCCCAGGGTGGGAGAGCCAGGCAGTGATGTATCCCAGTCTTTGTGCTCACTCTGATCTATCCACCCTTCTCTCTTGCAGCCATCTTCAATGTGCTGGGCCTGCCGGTGACGCAGTGCCCGCTGGGGCTGGGCCGCGAGGGGCTGCCGCTGGGCATCCAGCTGGTGGCGGCCTCCTACAACGACCACTTGACGCTGGCGGTGGCCCGGTACCTGGAGAAAGCCTTTGGAGGATGGGTTTTGCCAGGGGAAGTTTAACAGGGACAGAGGCAGTGACGAGTGCTAATGCTTGATCCCATCATGGCACTGCCTGCTCCCTCTGCATCCCCCTACACCCTGCTGGGAGTGGCTGGTGGTGTCTCCAGCACAGGAACAGCTGGACCACTGCCACTGAGTCCTCATCCCTGTGGCACCCTCTGTCAGGGAGAGACCTGCCTTTCCCGAGCCCCTCAGGAGCCCCAGTGCCACAGTCTGAGGATGCCCTGCCTGCAGTGGGCACCCACCCACCTTTTCCAGACCATGGAGTTGGCCACCTCTATAACCTTTCTGCTTTCAAAGTGCTGCGTGAGAGCTGGGCAGAGGACGTGCTTCCAGATTGCGGAGGGCAGCTGTGCAGCACCCCTCAGGGCTGCCTGGGCCCTGGGGGTCCTCCTTGGCCTCACCCTGCCCACGGGGCTGGACTGTGCCTGCTGCACCCAGGCTTGCTAGCCCCCCCAGTCCTCCCAGTCTCCTGCAGGCTTGCCCCCACCCTTTGACCAAAAAGGGAGGGGGGCTGGAGGAGCCATAGGCCTGCCTCACCAACAGCGCTTTGTGCGGTGGTGGATGCTTGACTCTGCAGTGTGTGCAGCTGTCAGGCACAGCTGGGAGCATTTCAGCACTGGTATTCAGCCAGGTATTAAAGAGCTTGTCCAGTCTACTGAGGCTATGTGTCCTTTTCCTCATGGCTGTCTGCCTTCCAGCTCCTGCCAGGCCCCAGCCCCATTTCTACCAGCGATGTGTCAGGGCTACCCAGCACTGCTGGCCGTTGCAGTGGTGCAGGGACAACAGTGGAGATGCTGGCATTGCCCCCCGGGGTGGCACCTGGCCGCTCTAGGGCTCTTGTTTTGGAGTGCCCAGGCCGGCAGAGACTGCTGGGCCCTGGGCAGAGTTAAATGGTGCTTATGAGCCCCACAATGCTGCCGTCAATGGCTCTGTTAGTCCTGCAATGGTTGTGCAGCTCTTGGGAAGCACAAGTTCAGCTGTTCTGTCGCAGTGGGCTGCCAGAGGCCTGGAGCTCTTGAGGTGGTGCACAGCCACGTGCAGGTCCCTCATGGTCACCAGGGCAAAATGAGGGGGCCCAGCCCTGTGTGCCCAGCCCGCAGCATTGGTCTTGGCAAGGATAAAACCTGCTACTGGTTTTGCTGGGATGTCCTGATCTGTGTCTGCCTTGCCATGTGTTACCCCTGGCCTGAGCCCTCGCTCCTTTCTGTCCCCACACCACTGATGGTCCGTGCCGGGGTGGTGCATCTGCTGGGATGGTGTGCTGGGACGGGCTGTACCTCGGCTCTGGTGTGCAGAGGGCACTGCTGAGCACCCGTGCCCAGCTGGGACGGTGCTAATGAGGAAGCAAGGAAGGAAAAAACAAACCCTGGCTCAGCAAAGGAGGTACAAACCACCCAAGTCAAATCACGCCTCCCAGCGTGGTGGCACAGACAACACGGACTGTCCCCCATCTGGAGGAAGCCTGGCAGCTGAGCAGACGGTGGTAACGCTTCCAGTGAACACTCGGAGCCACAAGTGAGGTTGCTGAGCTGAGGGCGTTGTGTTTAACAGTGGTTGGTGAGGTAGGTTTCTGATACTGCAGCGGGGCAGAGAGGAAATGCTGGATCAAGGTTGGGGGGAGTGCTGGTGCTTCAGGGTGGTGTGATGGGATACAGAAAAGGAGAGGATGTGCAGAGCAGAGGGGGTTAATCCCCACAATCTCAGTTAATGCCACAATGGAGGGAGAGTTGCTGGGATTTTTCCTCTGGCCATGGCAGAAGGGGAACGGATGTGCTGGGGTTCAGAGGGGGGCTAGCAGGGACTGGCCTGCAGTCACCTTGCTGCTTCAGGGAAGCATTGCCTCCCTTGCGCTGCCTTCTGCAGTGAGAGCAGCCCTGTCCCTGCCTGCACAGGCAGCCAGTCCTCCGGTCTCCATCAGTCCCCCAGCTCTGTGCCTCTGTAAGCCCCAGGAACAACCCTGGAGGCTCTTTCTCCCTTCGGGCAGAAATACTGCCTCCTTCAATGGGCTCTGTTGCAAGGCCAGGAGGGTTCTTGTTGGTCTCAGCGAGGGGGGACTAGGCCAACTGCCTGTGCTTCAGCTCTGGTGTTTCAGAGGTCTTGCCTCAGCCCTCACCCACAGTTTGCAGCTGCATGTCCCTGCTTGTTGACTGCTCCTCCTTGTTTCAAGCTCTTGATCCTGCAAGGGACAGAGAAAACATGGGGGCAGTGTTTTGTATCCACGTGCTGAGGTGCTTGCGCTTGTAATGGTGAAAAGTTGGTGTGAAATGGGAAGAGTGAGAAGCAGTGACAGTGGTGAGCAGCCCCACTGGTGTCCCGTCTGGTCAGGGGTGCTCCCACCCCTCTGCCTCTGGAGGTGGCCCTGGGCTCCCCACCTTCACGGGGGAATGTGTCCCCACAACCACAAGGTTGGTGTTGGTAGCCTCAAAGCCCTTGCACGTCTGCTGCAGGAGAGGAAGATTACCTCCGTGACCAGCAAGAGCAGGGCAAGATTCCTGGTGGCTGAATGGTGGGGCAAGACCAAGGTAAGAAGGGACTGGCCAGGTACAGGTGCCCAGCTGGACCAGCCTGTGCTGTGGTTCACAGTCTGAGTCTCTGCTTACAGCGCTCATTTTGCCCCATTTTGCCATGTGGGTGATGTCACGCAGGGTGCCCTCCCCGTACGGGGAGTCTGTGGGATGGCTGGGGGTGTCCTGGCAGTGGTGTCACAGGTTGTGCCAGTGTGAGTCATGCCCAGAGCTGGGCTGAGTCACCTCCCCAGTGGTGTGAGCCTCAGGTGAGGAGCTTTCTCTCTGACCCACATCCTGGTGACAAAGGCAGTGTGACTTCTCACCACGGGGTGCCAGAGGTGGGTGCAACAGAAGGTTGCTGCAGCACGTGCATAGTGCCATAGCAGTGTGGCAGCTGCCCACTGTCCCTGTGGGTCCACTTACCACCCAGCCCTGAGGGTACCCTGCCCTGTGGCACCCCCAGAATGCAGCAGAAGGTCCCCTGCCCTCCATAGTGGACACCTCTGTGCCACAATAGGCATGTGGGCTCCATGGGGCAGTGTCACTGGCTGAAGCTTCTGTTTTTATTCCCAGGTTCCAGCAGCACATTATGTCTGTGGGTAGCAGAACAGCTCCAGCACACCCATCCCTTTCCATGGCCCCCAGCATGGCTGTGGTAGGATGAGCCCTGCCCTGTTCCTGCTGCTGTCCCTGGCCAGCTGCTCCCTGCTCCAGGGTAAGCCAGTGCTGAAGCTGTCACCACAGTCTGGGGGGCTGGCTGCAGGAACACCTCTCAAACCTACTGAAGGTACCTGTGAAGAGGAGAGACCCAAGTGGTCATCAAGCAATGATGAGAAAGAAAACCCCCAGGTCAACAGCAGATGTGTCAGGGTGTTGTCTCTCCTGTTTTGTCAGCTGTGTCTCTGCTTTGGCAGAAGTGTGGAGAGGGTGTTCTCAGTGTGTGACCAATTGTGGGGGATACAGATGCTGAGCACCTGCTTTGAAGTCAGAGTTTGCCCATGCTGGGATGAAGCTGAGGAACCTGTGCCACAAGGGGACCCTGCAGGGCACTGCCTCATACCCCTCTGCTCCCCCCCCAGGGACGCTGCTGAGGCCACAGCACGTCAGGCTGGAGGCACAGAACTTCCACGTCTTGCTGCGCTGGGAGCCAGACCCCAGCTCACCCAGCTCTGCCACCTATGAGGTGGAGTGGAGGAACAGGTGGGTGGGGAGGAGGGGGTGAAGGGGTCTGGTCCTCTTACACCCTGGCAGAGGCTGTTGGGGACCCCTGGCAGCCAGAGGACTGTTACCTGGCAGTAAAGGCCACAAGGTAACAGAGCAGTGGAATTGGCAGGGATTGGCTGGTCCTACCCCTGCACATGCAAGGTCAACTCAGGAGTGTGTCCTGGTGGGTTTTGTACAACTTCAGGACAACACCCCTGGACAGCTTGGTCCCTTTCCTGGTCACTATCCCAGTAACAAACTAAGGGGTTGCTTTTGGACTGGGGTTTTGGATTTGGTTTTTTTCCCATTATGCTAAATGGAATTTCCTGTATTTCAACTTGTGTCCACTGCCACTTGTACTTTTGCTGGGCACCACTGACTCTATCTTCTTCTTGTGTTGGTAAGACGCCCCCCACGCACAGTCACCTTTCTCTGAGGCTCAAGCTGTCACCACTCACTCGGTTTCCCTCGTAGCACAGAGCCTCAACAGCCCCAACTCCTTGGGGGGCTCTCCCTGCCACAGCTGTGTGGTTTTGCATTGTGGAGAGCACAGGTCAGGGCACAGTGCCAGATGCCATCTGTGCCCAGGAGGGACACCCCTCCTCACACATCCCGGGATGCTGTTGGCTGATGCCTGGGCTTCCCTGCGCTTTCCACGCGGGCAGGATGGCAGTGGCTGGGCTGCCCTCCCTTTGGGCTGGGAGCATGCTGAAAAGAAACAATCCCTGTGCTTTCTCCCTGGGCAGAACCTCAAACTGGACCAAGGCAGGTGCCTATGGGGGGAACTGCAGAAACTCCTGTGTGTGTGAGCTGTATTTTGACAGGATTCATGATATCTACTGGGCACGGGTGAGAGTGGTGGCCGGAGGTGAGCGGTCCGAGTGGGCCATTTCCAGCGAGCTGCAGCTGTACAGAGACAGTAAGGACTGGGGAGCTTCTCCAGTTGGGCTCTTCCTGAGGGGCTGATGGGGAGAGGGGACCTTGGAGAGATCTGATGGGACTCAGTGGGAGAGCATATTAGGATACTGGAGGGAAAAGAGTCAAGAGCCCTAACCAGGGGGAAGGGATAACGCAGAGCTGCTGGAAGATAGCTGGGTGAAGAGCAAAAGGACAGAGGAGGCACAGTGAGGTGATTGGTAGGAGGCCCCCAGGCCAGCAAGGAACCATGAGAATTTGAGTCTCTGGGGAATGCAGCGAGATGGGGCAGGAGAGAGGATATGCCTCCAGGCTTGGCTTTTGAAAGGCTCATCTTCCTCCCCTGTCACGGTCTGGGATGAAGCACGGGCAGACCCTCTGGTGATCCTTTGATCCTGACTATTGTGTTTGCCTGGTGTGGGAATGTGCCTCTTCTCAGTCAGACTGGCTGTTCTGTCCAAAAAACCTAGCAGTCTCCTGGAGCTAGAAAATTTTCAGGACCCTCCTCTGACCTCCATCAGAGAAGTTGTTGCAATAAACAGATGTGGTGGCTGCCATTCCTAGAGCTGGTTTCAGAGCACAAAGTGCCAGCAGGCAAGACCTGAGGAGCTTCTGTGCTCTGAGAGGGGAATGTCAGACAGAAATATATAATTTCTAGAGAAACAAGATGTCTGCCTTCCTTTGAAGGCCCTAATTTTTGATTTTTTTCCCCTTCCCTACAGCAATTGTTGGCCCCCCCAAGCTGTCTTGGCTGCTCCAGGACCAAATCCTCAGCGTAAACATCATCACACCACCCACTCCCTACCAGAGAAGGACTGGTTCCTACAAGCCAGTCAACCGAGTGCTGCTGAAGCTGTGGTACTGGCTGCACCTGTACGAGGGGGACCTGCTTGTCCAGCAGGTCTGTGTGCTAGCTGGGCAGGGCCCAGAGGTGCAGAGCTTGCACAAGCTTTCCTGGTGCAGCAAAGCCTCCATGTCAGGTTGTAGTGCTGTGGGGGTGCCTGTGCTGCAGCCCTGCCCACACCTGGCTGCACATGCAGGTGTGAGGTGCTGTGCACCCCCAGTCTGGGGGTCCCACCTCAGCAAGGCAGGAGACCACCTCCCTCCCCTGAGTACGAAGAACTGGACTGGTTCTGTTCAGATGAAAAGTGATGCCACAGGTGTTTCAGGAGATGCTCTAGGACCTGAACACCTCCTGGGGCAAAGAACTGGAGTGTTGAAGATGCCTGGGAGGAGGGACCATAGGGCAAGTGGGATGTTGAGGCTGCACAGAGCAGTGGAGCCATGCCCAAACCCCACCTCCAGCTTCTGTGGCCACCTGTTCTATCTGCTTTCAGGTGCCCTGCAAACGGAGCAGTGAGAAAGTGCCTTGCACCTTTGGGCACCTGAAGCCCAGCACACAGTACTGTGTCCGGACGGTGGCTGCAGACATTGCCAGGGAGCGGAGCCAGGAGGCTGAGCAGTGCCTGGTGACTCCAGCAGCCCCCTCAGGTGGGAGCACTCTCACCAACTCAGCTGGCACGGTGGCATCTCAGATCCTGCTCACAGCACAAACTTGTGTGGAGGTGTGAATACCTCACCCCCAGCCACTGTGGTCAGGGTTGTGGCCCGGTGCTGCCCAGTGGGGACCTCTCATGATGATGCTTTCTTGTCATCTGCCTTGGGCTTGCCTCCTGAAACATCCCAGTGTGACATGGATGGGAAGCACTGACAGAGAGTGGGGTGGGAGGGATGTGTTTGAGTGACCCCTCAGCCTGCTGTGATGTCCTGCCAGGCTTTCCATGGGTCTCTGCTGTGCTGAGTGCCTTCTTCCTGCTGCTGCCTCTGAGTGTGGCCGGGATGTGCTTCGTGCAGCTGCATGTCTTTCCCAGTCCTCAGGAGATGTGCCTCCCAAAAGCACTGGTGAGTGATGATCCTCCTCCAACTTCCACCTTGTGTGTAGCCATAGCCAAGCCAGGGTTCCCTGCATTTGCAAGGGTTCAGCACCTCCTTTCCTCCAACTCTCACATCACCAAGCCTATTTTGGTACTCAGGTGTCTCCCCTGCCGTCTGAACCACTGTCCCCCAAGAAGAAGGTACTGGTGGAGGGCACTGGCCAGCCATGGGTCACAGCAGAGGATGGGGTCTCAGGCAGTGGAGCCCTTGGTGTTCAGCATAGTTTGTCACAACCCCTTAGCTGGCAGGGCTTTAGCCAGCTGAGGCTGACCATGTCACTGCTTTTGTTTTTGCAGGCTCTCCAGAACAGCGAGCTGAATGTGGCCATGCAGGTGCCTCCACTGCAGCTTGAGGAGGACCCACTGGCCCTGCTCCTGCAGACTGTGCTCCCCTCCCACGGGCCATCCACAGCTGTGCAGGCATCAGCCACGGTCCCACGGCTCCTGCGAGGCCTTGTCCAGGATGTGAGTGGCTACTGTGCCAACGGGTTTGGCCCAGACTGCATTGAGGGAAGGGACCCGTCCTGCACCCACAGTCAGCTGGGGCATGCCTTAGGTTCTCAGGTCCCCTCACAGCTGGAGAAGGATGAGGAGGCAGGTGATGGGGATGATGTGCCAGAGCAGCTGGTGCTAATGGGACTGGCTGGACACAGCTACATAGGTGACAAGGACAGCCAGATACCTAAAATGTGGCTCCCCCTGCACCTCCAGCTTTATTCTAAATGCCAGTGCCCAGTTCTGGGAGCAGACAGCCACCTTCCTCTGCCCGTGCCGAGCAGAAGCTGCAGCCAGGACTGCCTGCAGGAGAGTCCGGGGACGGCTCGGCACTGGATCCGGCTCAGCTCCGTGAGGCTCCTGCCCAGCACGGAGACGGAAGGCGGGCAGCGCCCCTGTGCTCCCCAGGCTCTGCGGGGCGGCGGGAGTGACCCAGAGCTAGGGGACAGCGCCGTGCAGCGAGGCTCCCCGGGGCAGGCCGAGCCGTGTCCGTGCCCGCTGCCCCCCTCGCCCCGCGGCCTGCGGGCAGCTCCCTTCCCCGGCTACGAGCCCCGGGCCCCGGCGGGCAGCGAGCCTTAGCGGCCCAGCCGAGCCCAGGCCGCCTCCCGCAGCTCCCCGGCCGGAACGGCTGTCTGTCTGTGTCTGTCTGTCTGTCCGTCTGTCTGTGTCTATCCGTCTCTCCGTCTGTCTGTCTGTCTGTCCCAGCCTGCTGGGGCGTGCTGCGGGTGGGACCGGGCAGGCTCCAAGGGCAGGCACAGGCCCGTTCCGGGCACGGCCGCCAAAGACGGGCGAGATCCAGAGCTTTCCTCTGGGGATTCGGTGCTCTTGAGACACCTCATAAGGAGCATGGAGCAACGCTGAAGCCCCAAACCTCTTATCTAGAGATCTGTCTGTATGTGTGCATGTATGGTACAGTATCTATACTAATGTAACACTCATATATACATATATATTTGTAAAGCTCTTTAATGAAAAAAATGTTGGGGGTTTTACTTCTGTGGAAATGTTGATTCTGTGCTGGAGTTGTTTTTAAATATCACTAATTTATTCTAGAAAACTGGCTTCTCTAGTCATTGTTTCTGTGTTACAGACCCAGCACAACCCTTCCCCGTGCAGCAGTCAGGAAAGGTACGGGGTAAACTTGGGGTTTTCCAGGCAGAAAATTGCACCCACAATCTCTGTCTTGCTCTCCGGTAGGAAAAGACTGTTTTTTAGCACCATGGGATACATTTATTATTCCTCCTGCTAGCACTGGGGTGATTTATGGCTGAGAAGCCCCTCCCTGTGGTTCTCCCCCCCCCCCCCCGATGTGTTTTGAGGCTTTGCCTGAAGCTGCAGAGGTCAGGGGAAACCTCCTTGTGCTGTGTCACAAGCTGGAATCAGCGGAGTCAAAATGCAGTGACAAATCCAGGCTCTTGAACTCATGAAATTACTCTGGATCTGGGAACAGGTGAGAAACTGGTGTCTAGTGTCCAGGCAGCTGGTGGAGGGGATGGAGGTACAGTGCTGCCAGTCTGAGGGAGCCTTTGGGGCTGTGCAGGGCCGTGTTCCAACCCTGTCACTCCTGACACCCCAGCCATGGTCCATCCCTGCCTCGTACTGCAGGCTGGCACCTGTAGCCCACAAGGGTCTGTGGGGGAGCAGAGATCCACGTGCAGTTCAGGGAGGATCCCAAAGGAGGCCATGACTCTATGGGAAGATCATGACTGGAGCAAGCTCCTGGCAGGCAGGACTGTGGCCCCATGGAAAGAGGAGACCAAGCTGAAACAGGTTTGCTACAGGGGATCGGCACCTTGTAGGGAGAGTGATAGAGCAGCTTTGGGCTGTGTCTGGCACCTGGCCCAGGTCAATCTCTCACAGCCAATGTGAGGACATGTCATGTATTGAAGAAATTGAGCTGAATTAACACACACACACAAGAAAAAAAAAAAAAGAAAAAAAAAAGGAAAGAGACAGTCCCAAGAGTTGCTTGAGGAACTCATGTATTACCCATATGCTTTTTTCTACCTATGAAGTTGGTGTCCTGTTGCCATCTCATTTGTCCCTCACAGTCTCTGATCTGCCTCAAGGTCATGGGGGTGAAGCCCTACATGCCTGCAGCCCTGTTGGATCAATTGCCTCACCCCCATAGCCCACTGGGCCTCCAACCCCACGCTACTCTGGAAGGTCACTGCATGGTCCCAGGCAAGGCACCTCTTAGCAGGAGCATCAGTCAGAGCTGCTGTTTGTGCCACAGGCTCATGGCAGGAGCCACATCCCAAGCAGGAGCTTGTCCAGGCCCAGCAGTGTCCATCAGGTTGCTCCAGCCCCGTCCTGGGTGGTTTGCCAGGACGTTGGACCAGTGCAATGGCACCAGACTGGCTCCCACAGCTGCTGTGCCCTGGGACCTGGGCTTGCACTGGGGCACGATCTGATCACAGCTTGCTCTGATCACAGCTGGCCACAGCTGGCCAGACTTCTGCAAGTCTGAAGAGGACCAGCTCTGTGGCTGGACAAGGGTGCTGGGGTCCCCATGGATCATTTAGGCAGTCACTCACTGGCAGCAGGGGCTTGCCCTGACCCAGGGGTGGTTGGACAGCTGGAATGTTCCCACTCATATAAAAGAGTTGTTCATGGGGACTGGAAAAAGACAGAAAGGTTGTGACATTTCAAGATGCCATCAGCAGCTGAAGTTTCCAAGTGGATGCAAGAGGGGGTTTCTGCTTTGCCTCAGAGGTGCAAGTAGCGTGTGGGTTTCTGCAGAATCACAGAGAGAAAGTGCAACATTCGCTGCGGGGTGAGGTCCCAGCATGTCCCAGCAGAGACCTGTCACCACTGTGTGCAGCGTGGGGCCTGTCTGGAGTGTCTGAATTAGATCCCATTTTGGTGCAGGTTGTTATGTGCTGAGCAGGACTGGACTGTGCTGAAGGATGGACGTGGGTCAGGAGCGAGCCCCCAGCCCCAGGCAGGTCTGCGCAGGACCTCGGAGCAGTCCCTCCATCACCACCGAAGCCTCAGTCACCGGCACACAGCAGGGTCCTCCCTCGGCGTTCCTTGCTCCCTCCACAGCCTGGAAAGGGCTGCGCCAGCGACTGGGCCTTAGGCAGCCAGCCCACCCCAGAGCACTGTCATCGTGGGTCAGATGCCATCTCTGGAGCTGGCTCAGGCCCACAGCACAGCGCTGTGCCTGCAGCTGCTGCTGCGGGGGCTGCTGAAAGCTCTGACTCACCACCATCCATCCCCTGCTCCTTCCTTCTCGCTGTGGTGCTTTCAGATTCTGCTGGTGCCAGATCAAAGCAACAAGAGAGATGCCGCTGCAAACAGCTCTTTATTAGAAACAGTGGGTTTAGGACTGTGCAAGAGCGTATTTCTTATTACTAATTCTCAGAGAGCAGAGCTGCCAGCCTATGAAAATGGTGTACACTAGAAAATTGCTCTTCGGGGGCTAATGGGGCTTTCACAGTCACTGAGTGGGAACTATTGTACCTGACAGCCATGAGAGATGTGGTGGCTCTGAAATGGCGGGGGAAAATCAAGCTCTTGTATTTTGTGGGCTGGCAGTACCCAGGACCATTAGCCTTTGAAAACCATGGCAGGCAGAGCTGCAAACAGCAGGGTCTGCTCTGACCCTGTGCCCACTCTGCTCTGTCTGCTTTCTCTCCTGCCTGTCACTGCAGCTGCACTGCCACTTCTCTGGGACAGCCCAGAGCCATCCCAAATCCTCACAGTCACCTCAAGTGCTGTCCAGCCCATCTGTGTATATGGCAAAGACCTGGGACCTCACTGAGGCCCTGTCACTCAGCCTCCCTGTGCAAGTTGCCTTTGTGATGGGTCTGTAGCTCCAGGTAGGTTCCTGAAGCAGCACAGAGCAGCAGCATCACAGCTGGACCCCATCCTTCAGCCCCGAAAGACTTTGTGGGTTGACAGGTCTGAGCTGCAGCCTCCAGACCTTCAGTGGTCTGAGCTGCTTGCCTGGGTTGGGAAGCCGAGCAGGATGTGGGTGGGGACAGTGAGAGCCCCAAAGGCTGGAGCCTGAGTGTGGTGTGTTCAGAGGATATGCATGAAGAGGGGTGCAGAGCTGACAGGCTGCAGAGAAGTGAATTTGGTTGCTCAGACCTGTGTGGTTTCTCTCCATGCAGGAGCTTTCCTGCAATTCAGTGGATTGGGACCCAAGCAGATTGGTTGGGACATTCAGGTCACCCCAGGAGACTGTAGAACAAAATTGGTCCTACTTCATGTGCTGGTCTGGGTGTGCCCTCACCTGGGGATGTGTGGCAAGTGTCTGCACTCAGAAGGAGCCAAGGGCACCTGACAGACTCATATACCATCTAGCTTGGTCACCAGGTCCCCTTACTCTGCAGGCCAACCTCCCCTGTCTTGTCCTCACCACTCACCACTGCTCTTCTCAGGGTCTGTGACACAGGGCCAGTTCCTGTGTTTCCCATCCTTCAGATGCAGGGGATAGGGGATTTCTGGTCCTGTAGCCTATGGGAACAGCAGCTCAGCTTAACACTTTCTCACCTCCTGGCACTGCTCCAGTAGCTCTCTGTCCCCTGGGATCATTCATGCTCCTGGTGACAGACAGGACCAGCAAGCTGCCCTCTGAGTTGGGTGCATATTGGCTCATGATGCACTCTGAGTTTGGGGTGGAGGGGATTGTGTGCTTCCTTCTCGTGGCACCACAGCAAATGGCATGAGCCTGTCTCCAGGATTTTTCATTCTGTGTCATGAAACCTGGCAGGATTCTGATTTTTTTCCATCCTCTATTTTCCAGAGGATGGAAAACAGGCTAGATAAAGTTTTATGTTAGGAGAAAAGTCCCATCTGGGTGGCATGCCCACTTGAAATGGATGATAGATTCATCTCAGCTGTTTTCCAGTTGTATCCATGCCTGACAGATGGGTACTGGCGAACAGAGGTAACCAATGATCTCTGGATAATGCACCTTCAACCACTCCATGAGAAATGAGAGCCTCTGTTTTGTGGTCAGCAGGGTCACAGTCAGCCTTGTGATTAAATAATAGAGGCTCAGGCTGCTCATCATCCTGTCCCGTCTTCCTCAAGAAAGTCCCACTGTGATGTCCAACCCCATAAGACGAGAGGACACAATAGACTGAGAAATGTGGATTTCATGCCAAGACTTCACAGGGACTTTCCATGTGGCACCTATGAAGCAAGCACTGTTCAACCTGTCTGAGCCCCAGCCTCGGTGCAGGTAGGGAAAGGCACAGAACAAGTTGCCCTGTCTCCTCTCCTCCATGAATAACACCTCAGGATTTTAAGCTCTTGAAAGTTTAAAATGTTCTTCTGCCTGTCAGTCACTTCCCCACTGCCCTTAGGAAATGTGCTCAGTGAGGTAGGGCATGATCTGCAGTCACAACAAGAAGGGCTCGGTTGAGGTCATTCTAGCTGGATTTCTCTGAATTAAAGCCTTCCAGAGGAAGAGAAGTAATTAGAAGCATTTCCAGTTGGCTGATAGCATGGTAATTTGAAACTGAAGTCAGGGGAAAAAAACAAGATCTCTAATGGGAACTGGAAAAACCTCAACACAGGAGAACTGGGCCAGGTCCCAACTGACACAGCCAGTGGCTGGGGGCTGCCTCTGTACCTGCAGCTTTGGGAAGAGTGCAGCTTTGGGAAGAGTGAGCACCACCTCAGTGCTGTTCTCTCAGAAAAGCCATCTTTCATGACCCTGTCTCATGGATGATGTTTTGGGACATTGGAGCACCAGCCTCCATCACTGCCTGCCTTTTTTCCAGAGAGCAAGGATGAGTATTTCCCTCTCCAAAACTCCCCAGACCCCGGTACTTGCTCTGAATTGTGCCACTTTGCTGTTGCTGTGAAGCCCAGACTGACCTCTCCCGTCTGCAGGGGCATCCACCCCAGGAGTGTCCCCTGATGACCCCAGCCAAGGAGTCGAGGGTTACATCAGCCACCTGGAGCTCACAGACACATCCTCCAGAAGGAGGAACTGCACAGCCAGCTCTTGGATGAAGAGGAGAGGCTCCTCCGAATGCCAGCAAGGTCCAATACTGCTCCAGCAAGGAAGCTCCTGGCAGCAGAG